TACTCCAATGCATTTTGCAGGGTAAAATTGAAGGAAAAAAGAGCCCCAGTATGAAGAAGAATATCCTGGCTTGCTAACCTGAGAGCATGATATAGAAAGACCTCAACACAGCTTTTTCTTATAGCAACCAACAAAATCATCATAGCCAGAATGAAAATTGAATAACTACATAAGCAGAATGGGAGACCCGTGTGGTAAAAATAGCAAGAAATAAATCACCAATTGGTGGAAGAAGTACGGACTGGTAACCTTTCACAGAGGTATCAAACCACCAATAACAAGCATAATTCCTTATAAAGAAGAAGAAGAAGAAGCATTCGTTGTCTCATTAAATATTACTTCGACAAGTATAATGATAGCTTTTAATAAATGCCGAGGTCAAACAAATGTATAGTGCTAGCGACGTAGTCCAAGAGAATAAATCCCAACGTCTAAGATGGGCTGGCCATGTTCATAGGCTCCCTAATAACCGCCTTACCAAGTAAATCTGGCAAGAAGTCCCGACAGGGAGAAGGCCCTTAGGACGTCCACGAATGCGATGGAGAGATAATATATGGTCAGATTTGAGAAAAATGGGGCTACCCACTGACTTAAACATCATGGACGACCGTTCGAGATGGAAGCAGGTTGTGCAGTCAGCCAAGATCCACCCCGGGTTGTAGTGCTACCAGAAGAAGAAGAAGAAGAGTAATAGTGGACCTGGAACGAAATATCTAAAATTGAAAAAGGTTAATGGTTTGTTGTGGCGTGAGAGAGAAACATTGAAATGAAATTGAAAGGAAAATTCTGTAAATGTGCCTATTATTAAGACCTAAATGCATATTATGGAAATGTGTGAGGAAAAATACGTAAATATGGTTCAATACATATTAAATGTTAAAATGATAATGACCCAAAAATATGAAATTACCAGTACGAAAGTACGAGAGAAGACCAAAGAAGATCTAGTGAGGGATGGTTAGACAAGACACGTCTGTGAAGAGGTTTAATATTAATATTAACTAAGATCGAAACTTATTAAGAGATTCAAATAAAATTCACCAAAGTAACACATGTATTAAGAAAAACAAAAACGATATTTGCTCAAAATACAATAAACGATGTCAACATTCTTACAAAGACTTGTTAAGACATGCCAAAATCGAGAAACA